TAGAATAAAAATCCCTAAACAAAAGTAAAAATCCATTATATGTCCCATAGTCCTTAGAAAAGAAAAATCCAGTAAATATACCATAGTCCTTACAAAATTACAAGAGCATAGTCCATATGGAGTATTCCAAGAAAAGAAGTCCATAAAGAATATTCCATAGGCAACAGTCCATAGAAAATAGTCCATGCACAGTCCTTAGGAAAAATCCCATAAGTCCAAAAGTAATCCAGCAAAGCATAGACTGAAGGATCGGTCTTGAAAGACAATGTCCATAGGCAAAAAGTTCCTTTTTCAAGAGTAACTGGCAAGGGCTCATCGCACCTTCCCACGATGTCATCCAATCAGAGTTCGTTACTAGGCAAACAGTCCTGTTGCATCACATGACTTCTTTCCCATCCACACCAGATGTTATTTGGGTTACTGTAGTTTATCAAAGAGTCACAACAATTCCCATCTAATCACACAGAGTTCTTTTCTCAGGCTATTAGAATAACATTCTCTCTGCTCGCCTAGAAAACAACTTGTCAGCATAGCAAAAATACTTTATACTAAGAAACAAGATGGAACCTCTCTGGCTCATTTCTTAATTACAAAACCCATATGCCTTAAAAGATTTTAACTCAAAAACCCATCTCATCACATGTACTATTCAGCGTTCTTACAGATCTAACTCACTCTTAGTTCACTTATAAGTTTCACACTGTCTCTCACTACTCGAATCTCTCCTCATACTCCATACGCCAGCCTTTATATCCCGCCCCTCTTGGCTCCACCTTCTGTCCTCTCATTGGCTCCTACTCCACTGTTCTGCTGTGATGGACAGGTGAGGGCAGGGCTGTTCGCTACGGTTGTATTTTCAGAGCTGGACAGGAATGTCTACATGCTGTACGTCTGCAACATGCAACCTGCAATATGCAAAGGAGGAAAAAAAAGGTCAACAAGTGTTACCTTTAAAAAATAAAGATCACATTGCATATTAAGAGCCATATAAATAACATAAGTTACTTCAAAAATCATATAATCTCTTTTAAGATTTTTACAGCAGTTCATGGAGAAATATTTCAAATAAAGCATCTAAAGGAAATGATTGTCTGGAACAGTCTGAGAGCAACAGAATGGTTGACTGGGTATATTTTTGGGTATAGTATTAACTGACATATGAGGCAGCTAGCAGGGCCACACACAGCCCAAACTACTATACTATTTGTTTTGTGTTATAGTGCCCATGGAACCAGCAACATCTGTCACTAGTAAACTCAAGAATGGGCAACAAAAAAATTCAACTTGACTTGGTGTCCATTTGTAGCACTAAGTTCTTACACTACTCTATCCCAGTAGATATTGGTTTTTGTTACAAACTTTGGTGCTCAAGAACTGAAATAAGTCTCTGATTTATCATATCAGTCATGGAGAGCTACAAACAATGAATGCCAAAATTCCAATGGAGATGAAGGAAATGTTTGACTAAATGGCATTGTAGACTGCACAGACAAAATAGGTCACCATTTTGTTAATTTTTTCCATACAGCTACCCGATAGTGCTTTTACAACACAGTTCCCAAGATTTCAACAGAAATTAGAAAGGTTGTTTCAGTAGGATATTATGCCACATTCAATTTATCAATTTTATCTAATGACCTATTGGTGTTTGTATAGGGTCTGCATAACTTCCCTAGGCAAATTGTGGCTAAATTGTGGCTGGGGCACATCTCAGTTGTGGCTGGGGCACATCTCAGTTGTGCAATCAAGTCTGTGACTAAACAGACAACCAGGATGTACCCTGGCACCTCATCAATTAGGGGCAACTACCCAAGGCAAGTATTACAAGACAAACGTTAGGAATAGTCTGACTGCTATGTATGAATTGATTTTGTTAACTGAGCTGTCTGGGATTCCAGCGCTTTGGAGGGTCTTCCAAAATATCCTTTGCTGTTTGGAATGAAGAATCAGAATGTGGATCCATTGAGCTCTTTGTGGTTCACAAGACTTTTATTATTTTTCCACTCTCACAGTCATGGTGTGTGTGTTCCCACGTTCGTTTTGACAAAAGTTATTTCTATTATCCAGAACAAGGGGCATGCTGTAGTACAGGGAATCATTCAACAGCATGTGCATTCAATAAAATGGCCGTTTGCCATTCCAAACTGCGGTTATTATAAGAATGAAATGTCATTAAACCCTCGTTTTCAAAATACTGTGTTCCAATGTCTTACACTCCTTACCGATTGCTTTGACAATGCCTTTATTTTTAAAATGGCAGTTCCGTCTTCTACGACCTTCAGATACACAGAGCGGGGGTTATTCAAATGCCGCTTTCCAACAGTAAAGTGAATAAAATATGTTCGGTTGCTATTTGGCTTCTTGTCCTCCTCCTCTTCATTTGCACCCGATCTCTTTGCAACTTAACACAATACGAGGAAAAGCCTCCGTCCCGAGAAGTCTACTTGGAAGTCATCAACACTCCATTGATTAATCTCCGGGTAAATGTGAACAGAATGTCGTCATAGGGCGGCAGGGCCAAGCACTGGCAGTGACGAGGATCGAAGTCTGTGGAAGGGGAGAGCCTCAGCCACAACACGCTTCTGGAAAAAAAAGAGAGAGAGAGAGAGAGAAGCCTCTCGCGCCCGAGGCAACGTCAACGAGGGCCTCAGGGCGGAGCTCCTGCTCCCCAGCATCTCCCAGCGAAGGGTCCGAGGCCCGTTGGCTACTCCCCTCCACCACCATCCCAAGCTCGGTCCCGCCGCTTCCACCGCCTCCTGGGCGGGTCCCGGATCCGCCTCCAGCCGCTTGCGGAGGGGAAAGGAACATGGTGGCTGTTTCCTCTCGTCTAATGAACCGCGACGATTCGGGTTGCACTTGAGGGGGTCGGGGTGGAGTGGCCACCGGCTTCGCCAGCCGGACTCCAGGGTCTCCGCGCTTGCTCAGAGAAAGTGGAAGCCCACCTTTGGTGAAGCCGCAGGTGAGTCCGCAGGTGGTGCTTTTGAGGGGGGGGTGTTGCTGGTTGAATAAGCTGACCAGCAAGGAGAGGGTGGGGTGGCCGCCGCGCGACTGCCTGGGCTCCCCCCACCCCGGCTTGTGGGTGCAGAAAGTCCCGGTGTTCGTCAGCGAGACAGAGCGTGCTTGGGTCTTTAATACTGTAAATGCATATGCCGCTTTAGCTTCCCCTCCCCCGCGCCTCCCTCCAGCCACCTTTCGCCTGGCTTCCGCCATGGAAGTTAGTTGGCAGAGCAAGCGAAAGAGAAACAGGCAGCGGGTGGATCACTCGCCTCGAAGGGGTTCGAAGTAGAGAACTCTGTGCTGGAGGGCAGCCCTTTGAAAACAAGAGGTAGTGCTTCTGTGGCGGTGGAAGGGGGTGGGTGCAAGAAAGAAAGAAAGGAGTGAAAGGCTTTTAGGGTTTATTCTTCCGTTTCCTCCTGTGAGTGGCATTCTCCTATTCTACGCGTGTCCTCACTTGTCCAGACCAAGTTTGCCCTACGGAGTTCAGCTACATGTAAACGACCAGGAAGGGATCTGCCGCTAAGAAAGGCCTTACAGTACATAGAATGCTGGCTTCCTTTTAGTATTCGGCTGTTGCTTTGGAAGAGCAAGCTTAAAATTTACCTTGTTTACAAATGTCTGTGTACAACCCTGAACTCCACGGGCTTCCTTTCAGTTGAACACACAGAGAATGGTGTAATTAACTGTCTTGGGGCATAGCTGGGAATGGTTTGGGGTCGTTTCTGTGCTAAACGGCAATGACTCAGGTTGATCTCTAATCTGGATTATGTATTATCATTACTTCTGAATAATCTTTTAGGAAAGCTTACGTTTTTCATTGTAGATGTAAGAAAACCATTATAGTTGAATCCCCATTGATAGTGAAATTCCTTTCTAGTATTTACTCAGCATGCTTGCTCACAGTCCCAATTCCTGGCCTTTTTCTTTCTTAGCTATTGGCTTCCTCTGTGCCCAGCAGATGAAGGATTAGTTACTTGAAAGAACTCCTTGAATTCTGGCACAAAGGATAAAGTGAGCAGGTAAGGCTTTGGACACTTTCTGCAAAGTGTGTTCTTTCTGTTGCCCAACTCCTGTCCCTGGCTTTTGTGTGATTTGACTTAACTCTTGCAGGATATTGTGCAATAAATCCTGAATGAGATTTCTCAGGAAATAGGAAAGTAGTAAGATGTATGTCACAGTAGCTGTTGCTATGTGATCTGAACACTAACATTTTAACAGATTGAGTCTTGTAAAGCAGGGGTCATCAACCCCGGTCCGTGGCCTGGTCCACAGCCCAGTGCCAGTCCGTGGGCTTGCAGAAACTGGGCCGCAAATACAGATTTCCACCCCTACACACACGTACATGGGGGGCATGTTAAGCTTATGGTGGGGGCGTGTTGCACCTCCAGGGGGCATGTTGCGCTCGTGCGGGGTTAGCGCGACATGCCCCCCCACAGGTGAGACATGCCCCTGCGTTCGTGCAGGGGTGCCCTGCCCCCTCGCACATGGAGCTCGCTCTCCCCAGCCGGTTTCTGGCCCCAAAAAGGTTGGGGACTGCTGTTGTAAAGATATTGGTAAGAGTAGTTCTTGAAAGGGTGGTTTGAATTTATGCAAGTTGATAAGTGTACTTACTGGTATCTTCCAGCTGCATTGTAATGTTGTATAGCAATCTAGTTTACTTACAAAAATATTAGATTTTTTTCTGTTAGATTTGATTGAAATTAGGTGGGACTTTTATTTTATATATAAAATAATATGGATTACTTGATGAATCAGTGAATGCAGTCAATCATCCAGCTGCATATCTAGTTATTTAGTAAACCAAGTGTGTGTCTTTGTGGCAGTATCATTGAAAAGTCCCAATTCATAAATAGTGCAGTATTTTGTCCTAACTTTCCAGAAGTAAAACTTGTTTTGAGAGTGTGGGAGAGAAAGACAACAATAGTTTCTTGGTTTGAGCTTTATAGTGGTACTTTGCTGTGTACAGTGGTGCCTCGACTTACGAACGTCCCGACTTATGACCAATTAGAATTACGACCAGCTCCGGCCGCAAAATTTTGCTTCGACTTGTGACTGGAGCTTTGAGTTACGATCAGAAAAAAGGTGGGGGAAAAGGCAGGGAATTTAAATTGGTAACCGTTGGTCAGTGTACAGGCTGCTTCTTTGTAGCTCTTTCGCCACAACAGTTAGAGTGTGTGCATTTGGATGATGCTTCAGACTGCCTGGTGTTGCTTTCTGCTTCTGAGTGCGTACATACAGGGTTTTGCAATGTGGGTTTGGGCTGGGGGGTTATGTTTCTGTGCTGTGACTTTTTTTGTTTTTTGGTATGTGTGTTTTTTCGACCCCAGCGCATTCTGATGGGGCTTGCTGTGTTATTTTGTTTTTTGGTGATTTTTTTTCTGGCCCCAGCACATTCCGATGGGGCTTGTTTTGTTGTTTTGTTTTTTGGTGTGTGTGTTTTTTTTTCAGCCCCAGCACGTTGTGATGGGGCTTGCTGTGTTGTTTTGCTTTTTGGTGTGTTTTTTTTCTGGCCCAAGCATGTTCTGGTGGGGCTTGCTCAGTTTTTTGTTGTTTTTTGTGTTTTTTTTTCTCCCAGCCCCAGCATGTTCCGATGGGGCTTGCAGTGTTGTGTTTTTTTGGTGATTTTTTTTCTGGCTGGGATGGATTAATAGGGTGTCCGTGCATTCTTGTGGGGAATGGTGCTTCGACTTACAACCAATTCGAGTTACGACCATCTTCTGGAATGGATTAAGTTCATAAGTCGAGGCACCACTGCATTAAAACAGGAATATCTAACTGTGGTGGGCTGAATAATAATCTTGTATAATCTGTATCTAGTCCCTAGTTGCCATTCCAAATTTTAGTAAACAAGTTGTTAAAACAATCTCAGGTTGTCTGGGATAAGTAACAATATGCAGTGTCTTTATTATGCGGTGAAAAGCTTTAAAAACTTAAGGCATTTCGGCAGAGCCTTCACCAGAACCAAAATTTTTATATTTCTCTGGTCTGTATTGCCACTGAAGTTAATCAGGATTCCGAAATGCATTAAGCCAGAAAGTTTTAAAAGTTTTTCACCACGTAATAAAGACATTACATCTTTTGCTTTCATTTAAGTAGAGATGTTTATCAGTAGTAGGTAGGCATTGTCAGTCACTTTAAATTGTCCATGGGTATCCAGTTTCTTGTGTAAGACCCCTTTTTCTTGGGGGCTTCTGTTGCAGTTGGATGTTTTCATGGAGATTTTGGCTTATACATTGCTTTTCATGGGGCTTCCCAGGCTGCATATTTATTAAGGCTGCGCAATAGTAAAACTTATGAGAATTTTAATTCACCCCATGAGGCTCTAGTTCAGCGGTTCCCAACCTTGGGTAACCCATGGATTGTAAATCCCAGAAACCCCAGCCAACTACAGTCCAAGAACACTTGGGTTACTCAAGATTGGGAACTACAGTACTGCTTTTGATAAATCCAGTATTCTGCTGGTGTTTGCAGCATAATTTTGTGTCCTTTGCTATCAGTTCTCCACATCTCTTGCAACCATCTCTGAAGCATTCCATGCCTCCTAGGTCTAATTTTGTAGGTGTATGATGGTTGTAGTGAGCAGAAGAGCAGCTCCCCTGCATTCTGAAAAATTAAGCAACAGTCCACAGTACTTTATACCAGTGGTTCTTAACCTTGGGTTACTCAGATGTTTTTGAACTGCAACTCCCAGAAACCCCAGCCAGCACAGCTGGTGGTGAAGGCTTCTGGGAGTTGCAGTCCAAAAACACCTGAGTAATCCAAGGTTAAGAACCACTGCTTTATACTATCTAAAATCTATATTGTGAGAGTATTTTTGTTTGAAGTTCTAGTTGCTCCTGCCATCTTCCAACCCTGCACATTAACAATGCAGACATTAAATAGAAAGAAAAATATCCAGATGATGTTAGCAATATTTTTGGGGTTATAAAGTGCATACTTGGTGTCATTCTTGTGGCTTTTTCAGCACCAGTATAGAAAGTAAAATTGACAAGTGAGAATTTCATTTGTTGTATTATCTCTAGTTTCTGTGTGCCAATATGGTCATTAAGTCTAGTTTATTGGCAAACTGTTATATTCTGCCATTGAGATTGTGTATGGTTGTACATGTATCTTTGGAGGCAACCCAGTGTTGCAATAAAACCTCCTTTGAGCACTTGTGGAGTTGTCACTCCTCAATAACAATACAAATGCAGGAACAAGTGATACCTTATATCACTTGTTCCTTCATTTGTATTGTTATCGAGGAGTGGCAGTTCCACAAGTGTTCAAAACAAGTACTCCTAAAACAAAGGAGAACCAGGCAATCTCCCCCCCCCTTAAGAGATGAACTTGGAGCAAAAATACTTTTAAGAGATGGGCCATAAATTCCAAGCTGCTAGTGGAGGAGGAGCTTGCATACTGCAGCCATTAACAACTAAGAAGCTAAGGTGGCCTCAACATTAATAACAGCGTAAAATTTTGGAACTACCCACAAGAACCTGATTCACTGCCTAGAAAAAGATGGTTTATCATCAAAAGCTTCCTTTTTTAAAAAAAATCTCATTGGTCAAATAAAGGTATCGCCTGTTCCTGCATTTGTATTGCTTCAAAGTACCTTGTAGCCTTTTCCTGATTTTTCCTACATAACAGTGGAATTTTACTTTTCAAAAAGGTTATTGACAGAAGGTCATTCTTTGGGCTGTCGGATTAAGCTCCTTGTGCGTTTGTTCTCTCACAATGCCTGTTTTTTCTTTTAAAAATAAAGACCAAGGCCAGTCTTCAAATTTAAGGAAGAATTCGCACCCCCCCATACATGGAGCTCACTCCCCTAAAATGGTCTGCGGCCCCAAAAAGGTTGGGGACCTCTGGTATGTAACGTAATTTACTTTTTAGCAGAGAGAGCTGGTTCTGGCCTAGAAAAGTTGACACATATTACAAATGTATCTTCAAGCTTAAGAAAGTGCCTTTCAACCATTGTGCTATTTAACTAAAGAATTTATTATTATTTTTCAGTTAAAAACCACTTAGGCTCTAATGATTTGGGTTTAAGGCAAGCCTAGGAAAAGGAACAATCTAGCAGTTTGAAAGCATGTAAATGCAAGTGGATAAATAGGTACCACCTCAATGGGAAGATAAGTTTGGAGATGGGGATGAGCACCGCACCCTAGAGTTGGACACGACTGGACTAAATGGCAAGGGGAACCTTTACCTTTAAGGAAAGGAAAGGGCAGTTTAAAAGTGATTAGCCAGATTGGGATGTGGTGGCGCTGGGGATTAAACCACAGAAGCCTCTGTGCTGCAAGGTTGGAAGACCAGTCATAAGATCGAATCCACGTGGCAGAGTGAGCTCCCGTCGCTTGTCCCAGCTCTTGCCAACCTAGCAGTTCAAAAGCATGTAAAAATGCAAGTAGAGTTACCACCATGATGGGAAGTAATGGCATTCCGTTTCTAGTCGCGCTGGCCACATGACCACAGAAACTGTCTACAGACAAACACTGGCTCTATGGCTTGGAAATGGAGATGAGCACCACCCCCTAAATACCTAGCCAGATTGGGCTGGCCACACGTTTGTAAGACATTCATTTTCCTTGCTATATAGGTTGCTGCACCTGAAATTACACTTGGGTAATATTTGCTCAAAGAAAACTGTTTCTAATCTGAGCATTCTTTGTTAGCCATGTTAAATCCCATTGTAATCCCAGATACCATAAAAACAAGAGTTTCGGAAAAAATGTAGTTAAACTAGTGTATAGATGTGTGACATGCCCCTTGTGTATCCCTGGATTATTTCACTAATCTAAGGCCCACGCCACGTTCCTATTTACTTGAAAAGACTGAGGTCCACACTGCATGTAACTTAACAAAACCAAGTTTATTGAATACAGTTCAAATCTTGATTTTCACTTAAGTAGATTCCTAAAAGGTTAAAACTTTCAATAGTTTCATAATAACTTATTCCACACTTAACTCTCTCTAACACTCTTAACTGCTTTTCAACTCCCCACTGACTATCTGCTCCTCCTATCTCCTTCACCCCTCC